TGTGTTAACAATAATTTATTTTCTAAATTAATAACAAGATTTTTTTAGAAGAAAGCGTACATATTGGCCAAGAGTGGATTTCTATTATTTACGCTTTTTCTGTTTTTTATTTCTTTACTTAATTTATATAGTTTATTTTCAGAATAAAGATAATATAATTTTATTAGACATCATTTATGTAATTAAAAAATTTTACTAACATTTTTTGTTGTTAGTTTCATTACTTTTAAATAATTAAGAGACACACGATAGTGTATCGCGCCTAGTGTGGGAAGAGATATTTTATTGTCATCTGCAATGTTATAATATATATATTTTATTCATAAATCAACATCAGAAAAGATACGCGAGACATAATAGACGAGCCAAGTCAGTCGACGCGCTAACGCATACGACTTTCGATGAACCGGCTATGGCTATGCTACGACTCGCGGAAAAACGAGACATCCGAGTGTATGTCTGCGCTCTTCTACCCGCCCGAAGCTGGTCGAGCCGCCGCCGAGCGCCCAGCGCACACGTACACGGCTCCGTCAGCTGTGTGCGTGTCCCCCACCAGGCGCGCAGGCAGCGGGCAAAACAGCACCATTGGCATCTCTGGGCACGGCGCGTGCGGCGACGATTTGAGGCGACCGATGGGGGACCGCCGGCCGCGGCGGTGGAAACGCGCTCTGGCGATCGACGGGAGGCGCCCGTGTGAGGTGCCAAGAAGAAATTTAAGAACGCATGGTGCGGCTTGATATCCAAAAAGCGTGAGAGCAACAGGTGAGGATAGCACGAGGTCTTTGAAGGGATACAGGAATAGAGAATGCGAAGAAGAAAAGGAGCTGAGGGCTACTCAGAAGAGCGTAAGTAACAAAAGTAAATTAGAAGCGTAAGATAGAGAGAGGACGGAGAATGGCAATGAGGAAGGCAGAGGCACACACAAACGAGTAGATAGGTTAAGTTAGCGGTAAAGAGAGGTGAGGAGGCGAACAAGTGCAGCGTACTAATATAAAGCTCTGTTTAATATAGCGACAAAGGAGAAGATGTCGGGAACAAGACACAGATCGGAGGAGGCTGAGCGGCGGAGGAAATCGTGAGAGAATTAAGAAAGATAGGACTAGGAATTATGGAGGAATGTAGACGAGAGGGAACAGAAATCAGGAATGAAATGAAGAAAATAAGGGAACAGCTAGAAAAGATCGAGAAGAGGCAGATCGAAATGATCCAAATCAAGGAGAGCGAACAGAAGGAGAGAGACACAGAGGAGGTACAGAAAAGTAGAAGAAGAATAACGATGAAAGAGGAGGCAAAAGAGAGAGAAGAGAGCAATGAAGAAAAATGGAGTGAAAAAGATTGGGGAAAAGACTGGTGGTAGGAAGCGGCAAGCGAGGAGGAAAGGAGAAATGAAGGGAGGAAGAACGCGAGAAAGAAGACGAAAGATGCAGTGAAAAAAGCGAGGTTAGGAAAGTTGAAAACGGGACTGACGAAAGAGACAAGGAAAAAGGACACACTGCAGAAAGGAACAAGGTGTGGCGAATAACGGAAGAGAGAGAGGAAGAAGTAAGAAGGAGAAGAGAATGAAAGAAAAGAGAGGCGGCGCGAGAAGAAGAAAGAGAGAAAAGGGAAAGAGCCGAGAAGAAGGAAAGAAGTCTCGGGCCGGATGACCAGTCATTGCGATAGTAATCTTGCTCAGTACGAGAGGAACCGCAAGTTCGGACATTTGGTTCACGCACTCGGTCGAGCGGCCGGTGATGCAAAGCTACCATCCGTGGGATTATGCCTGAACGCCTCTAAGGCCGTATCCTCTCTAGTCAAAGGTGGCAATGATATCTCTAGGAGTCTCCTCATATGGAGAAGAGTGACAGGAGAAGGGCCAAAGGAAAAAAGAAAGTTTGTGGAAACAATTACGGAAAGTGTGCTGGGGAGAATAGTTCCAATAAGAAGAGTCAGGGAGGCGGCGGGCACGGACTGGAAAGGAACAATTTTTATGGAACTTGAAGAGGTAGACGACAAGGAAGAATTAATTAGAAGGAACGACGAGATCTGGAGAAGATGGGAAGTAGGAGTCGATGAGCTCCTTACGATGGAGGAGAGAGTCTACAGACACAAATTGGTCAAAAAAGCAAGGGAGGAAAGGCAGAAAGGAAGGTCAGTGATCCTAACGAATAGGAGGCTCTGGATAGATGCGAAGGAAGTGAAATGGGATGAGGAGAGAGGTACATAGCAGAGAATCTGAAGGCCTTTTTGACGAAGAATACTGACACGATGGAAGGAACAAAGAAAACGCGAGCAGGAGGAAAGGGAAGGAAAAGAAACAAAGAGAACACCTAGAGGAAGTACAGACAGAGAAAGTTTGTATTAGTAATGGAACTGCAAGTGTATACCAGAAATGTAACAATGTATGAGTGTGCGTGCGTGAATGACAATTAAGTAATTGAGGGCTAGAGGTTAACACACGGCAAAGGTGCTGATAAAATGGTCTACACTTGAATTAAAAATATGATACAGAAACAGGCAAAAGCAAAGAAGGTTATTGCCATAGGACAGCGTAGCTATGTGGGGTGCGTGAGAGAGAGAAAGAGAGAGAGTGTGTGCGTGTGTGCGAGGATGAGTGAAGGAGAGAAAGAGTGAGAGGTAAAACGGAAGAAATTTGAAGGAGAATAAAGTAAACCTATATAATAGCAGAGTAGCAAGTGCATATTATGAATGTAACAACGAGTGAGTGTGTGTATGTCGAATGATAGTTAAGTATCTGAGTGTGAAAGTCAACATAATGTATAAATGTAAATACAAAGGCGCTGATGTAATATGAAATATTATTAAATGTAGCGGGAAGAAAGCTAGAAAATGGCAAAGGCAGAAAAGGTTAATAGGTTGCTAAGACAGCGTAGCAATGAGGAACGCGGGAGAGAGAGAGAAAAAGTGTGTATGTGTGTGTGTGTGTGTGTTTATGTGTGCGCGGGTGAGTGTGTGTGAGGGAGAGGAAGTCGCTGAAGAGGGGGCCGGGGTGAGGTAAAGGAAGGGGAGGGTGGGTACTGTTAGTATGTGAGGTCGCCTAATGGCCAGGCTTGGAAAGGAAATGCTTGTAAAAATGTAAAGGGTTGGGTACGTTCCTATAAAACGCCACATGTATCAGATAAGAGGAGATCAATAAACAGAGGACAGGTAAAGGTTTGGACACGTTCCTAAAAAAAAACGCCATGTATATATCCCGAGAAGGAAATCATTATCTTTAATATATATATAAAAAAAAATACAATTTTTTAAAATTTGGTCCATTAACGAATGAGTAGTTTGCGGTCAGACAGACAGATGTCAGGTACTTATAATAATAGATTTTGTAATAAATTATTTAAAAATGTCATATGCTTTATTATATAATTTCATCTTTAATTTTTTATTTATCAATGATTTTTCCTACCTAAAAAGTACCATTTTGATCCTCCTAAATAACTCAACTTTTTGAAGATATCAGTCTGTACTATATTTTTTCTTGAACACTTACTTCTGAAATAAAAAACTTTAAAAAGATTTTTTTATACTGCATAGAAAAAAAGTGTGCAAATTAGAAACTTGCACATTGCTTCCTCATCATTACGGATCGCTACCATTGCTCCTATTTTATTTCGTTCACAAAGCTCCTCTTATGAGGAAGCTTGTATTTTATTTGATGCATAATTATTAGTATTTATTAGTTTGGCTTCCTCATAGAGGAAGCTTTATGAGCGAAATAAAATAGGAGCAATGGTAGCGATCTGTAATGATGAGAAAGCAATGTGCAAGTTTCCAATTTGCACTTTTTTATTTTAAATTTAATTCTTTTTTATAAATTGAAAAAGGGTCAGCTTAGTAGCACAAGTGGGGTTTTACAATTGACGCCATGTCAAATCGATGTTGACTTTGGAAGTTCAAGCTACATGGTCCATATATGGACTTTCGCATATAAACCTTTGATCGCATATAAAGCTGGATCTAATTAACCAAATCTTAAAGAATTATATATAAAGTAGGGGTAGAATTTTCCGGGAATTGCCATAAAGTATATAATTTTTTGTTACCGATTTTTTGAAAACCGGTTTCGAATTTTTTTCAATTTTTCGGGAAATAATTGACCAAATCTTAAAGAATTATATACAAAATAGGGGTAAAAAAGACTGAAGAATATAATAATATTAGAAACAGCCCGATATTTTAAAATTAGCGGAAATTAAAGCTATTACAGACATTTTTTAAAAAATTATGGACATTTGATCGCGTATAAAGCTGGGTCTAATCAACCAAATCATAAAGAGTTATATATAAAATAGAGGTAGAAAAGACTGAAGTATATAATAAAATTAGAAATAGACAGATATCTCACAATTTGCGACAATTAGAACAACCACAAACATTGCTACAAAAATTCTAAATTTTATTTAAAAAAAAAAGCGCTTTACCGATCATTGCCAAATTCAATCCCAACCTTCCTTACATGATACTCTATCAATAAAAAAAAATGCATCCCGATATCTAAAAAATTATGAAAGTTAGAGCATAAACGGACAACAAAAGCGTTACACACACACACACACGCGCGCGCGCGCGCGCGCACGTACACGCACACGCACACGCACACGCACGCACACGCACGCACACGCACGCACGCACGCACGCACGCACGCACACACACACACACACACACACACACACACACACACACACACACAC